CTAAATAATTTGAGAAGTGCTTTTATCAGTAATTTGTGTTTGGCTATTATTTTCAAAAAGTGCTTTGAAGTGTCAAATTACGAAAAAGGAAGTTAATGCTAATTTTTATTTGGTAAGCATGAATTTCTAATAGGGTAATCTTATCCCTAAAAAGAAAATCTAAAGCGCTTATTTTTTGGAGAAGCTACTTTTTCAGCTTCTTCTACTGTCCAAAAGCGCTTATTTCTTCGCCAGAAGCTTGGCCAAACACCTTCATTCTCTAAGTAAGACTTTTCAAAAAGAAGATTAGCTTTGCAGAATCTTATCTAAATGGGCTATTACTATTCGCCATTGCTTCTTGCAGACTTCCTTCCCAGAAGAAACTCCTCTTGCAGATCTTCTTCCATCTCGTTTTTTCTCTCTAGGTGCGCCCACCTTTTTGCTCCCTTGGTGTCTCGAACCCTCAATCTTAGGGTTTGAGTTGGAGGGTGCTTACCACCTGAGCAAGCCCCTCTTGTCCCTTGTTACTTCTACATCTCAAAATAGAAGATATAACAATGGCTCTGTTATGGAAATAAGTTGTTTATGTACGGGACCAGATCTTGTGTAATTATCCTTGTGCCCCAGGGAAAGGCTACGAGGCTTATGGTTTGAGTTTTGCCTTCCCGATTCTATTTAATGCCACTTATTAGAAGATATTTGTAGCCTTATTGATTGAGCATGATGCAGTCTGAAACATGTTGTGAAAGGAAGGGACTGAAACTGGTAGTATTAGATAAATAATGGCATAACCATGCCAACTTCTTTGTGTTAATGTAACTTTCATGATTTTTTTCTTGCATCATCTTGTATGAGAACACTTTGTATGTTTAATGACAACTGATTGTTGTTTTTCTTTATTCAGGTATGTCAATCGTGCCCTCTATCTTTTGCATCTTACATGTGGACCTTCTCATCCAAATACTGCTGCAACATATATAAATGTTGCAATGATGGAGGAAGGTCTCGGAAATGTCCATGTTGCACTCAGGTACCTTCACGAGGCTCTTAAGTGTAACCAGAGACTTCTTGGAGCTGATCATATTCAAGTAATGTCTCTCGTCTATCTCTATTATGTTTGTGTCCAGAAGATCAGCCCGTTGACATTTTAAATTTTTCTTAACCCAAATGTTTGTTTCCTCCAGACTGCTGCCAGCTATCATGCTATTGCAATTGCTCTTTCTTTAATGGAAGCATACTCCTTGAGTGTTCAACATGAGCAAACTACACTTCAGATACTGCAAGCTAAACTTGGACCCGATGATTTACGTACTCAGGTATAAATCAGTTTGAAGTCTGGTTATTCAGTTTGTTCTCGGTGATGAACCTCGTGGCAATCTTATTCAGAATTTTCTGCAGGATGCTGCGGCATGGCTTGAGTATTTTGAATCTAAAGCACTTGAGCAGCAAGAAGCTGCACGAAATGGTACCCCGAAGCCTGATGCTTCTATCTCTAGCAAAGGCCATCTAAGGTAGTAATATTCTTTTTGATTCAGTAGTTTCTTTTTCCTGTTTCATACTTGCATACGCTAATCAAAATTTTGTTTTCCTATTTGGTATGCGTAGTGTCTCGGATTTGTTGGATTACATAGCTCCAGATGCTGAGATGAAAGCTAGAGAAGCGCAAAAGAAGCAAGCTCGTGCAAAGGTTGAGTTTCTTTCTCCTAATATACACGACCATTTTCTATTTAGTTCACTTTACTGAAGTATCCTGTTTAAATTTCCTCATTTATCATATATAGGTTAAAGGCAAAGCAGGACAAAATGGGGGATTAGCTACCGATGAATTTGAGAAGGATGAACTTCTTTCTCCAACTAGTCCTGTTGTGGAGAACTCCAGTGATAAAGAGAACAAGTCGGAATTAGAGAACAAATCAGAATTGAAGATTGCAGAACCCACACCTAAGGAATCTGAACACATTTTGATAGAGCAGACACTACTGGAGAAAAATGACGATGTGATATTAGAGGATACCTCTGAGGAAGGATGGCAAGAGGCTTTACCCAAAGGTCGTTCAACAATGGGGCGTAAGATTTCTAGTTCTAGGAGACCTAACCTTGCAAAACTTAACACCAACTTCACGAATGCTTCCCATTTACCAAGAGCTCGAGGTAAAACCACTAATTTTCCTTCTCCAAGATTGACTCCAAATGAATCTGCGGCATCATCTGGGCTATCTCCTGCTTCAAAGAAGTTTGTGAAGAGTGCTAGTTTCAGCCCTAAGTTAAACAGCGCTGCTTCACCATCTGGTGGTACTGAGAGATCTTCTAAGCCCAAATCGGCACCGCTCACCCCTGCTCAAGCTGAACAAGTTGTCAAAACTAATTCAATTGTCAGCTCAATCAGTGTTCAGGCAGCTGGAAAACTGTTTTCTTACAAAGAAGTTGCTTTAGCTCCACCTGGTACCATTGTGAAAGCAGTGGCAGAGCAATTGCCAAAGGATAGTAATTCAGAACAAAACAAGGAGACTGTGGCAACTGATTCAACTCTACCGACAACAGCGAGGACCAATGATGGAGAAAAGGCTCAGAAAGTCGGTGAAGAGAAGCAACATGATGATTCCGGTGAGAAAACCAATCAAGCAGTCAATGACGCTCAACAAAGTAAAGAGAAAGCACCTGTATCATCCGAATCTTCTGAGGGGACAAAAGCTGACACTTCTGGGGAGATGGACGGAGTTGTCACAGCTTCTACAAATAGCTCTATTCCGGGTATCCAAAATAATGGTTCCAGTGATTCAGATGCTACTTCCAAAGTCAATATTCTGGAAAGCAAAGCTGCTACTGATTTAGTGACAGAGAAGGATGCTTGTCTTACAAATGAAGGAGCTGCAGTTAAGGAAAAGAATGATGATGAACCTGGTGATCTAGGAAGTGTCACATTGCCAACTGGAGTAGATAAAGATATTACTAGCAATGCTAGTACCGTGCCTACTGAATCAGACCAGCAAGGTGATTCTGAGACTGTAAAAGAAGCATCCAAGAAACTTTCGGCAGCTGCACCACCATTTAATCCATCACCCATTCCAGTTTTTGGCACTATCCCAGCACCAGGTTTCAAGGAGCATGGAGGAATATTGCCCCCTCCTGTGAATATCCCTCCTTTGCTTCCTCTGAGTCCTGTTCGTAGATCACCACATCAGTCAGCAACAGCACGAGTTCCGTATGGTCCACGCTTGTCAGGTGGCTATGGTAGGTCTGGAAATCGAGTTCCACGAAACAAGCCTGCTTTTCTCAATGCTGAACCTAATGGGGATGCCAGCCATTTCGCTATTCCTAGAATCATGAACCCACATGCAGCTGAGTTTGTCCCTGGACAACCATGGGTTCCAAATGGCTTTCCGGTTGCTCCAAATGGTTACATGGCTTCACCAAATGGTATGCCTGTTTCACCAAATGGATACCCGATATCACCAAATAGCATACCAGTATCTCCAGATGGTTCTCCAGCATCCTTGAACAGTACACCAGTGACTGAAGACGGAATTTCAATATCTCCAGTTGAAGCAGGAGAATCCCCTTTAGCTGTGACTGTGGAAGAAGCTGCTGAAAATCACGATAAAGCGATGGCTGGTGGGACTGAAGTGGATACCTCCAGTAGTTTGGTAACTGATGAGACAGAAAGTCAGCAGATCATGCAGGCTCAGGAAGAAGATGTAGAAAAACTACATGACATTCCTAACGATGATGAGAAATCACCATGTGAAAATGGAGAAATGTCTGTAGATACTCCTGCACTATCTGATGAGATTACTGCTTCAAAAGAAACGTGTAATACTGTCGTTCTTGAGGAGAAAGGAACCAAGCGTTGGGGAGATTATAGTGACGGTGAAAATGAGGTTGTTGAGGTAGCAAGTTGAAGAGATACTACTTTCATGTTAAAAGCGTTGACCAGCTCTTCGTCAATTGGTTTTTTGTGTCTTTTACTTTACAGCTGACCGGGTATCTCTGAAGGCTAGAAACTGAACCACAGAGCTGTTTGTTTTCCTGCTTAGATGTCCGGTGAAGATCAAAACCAAGTACTGCACTGACTTCCTGGTACAGTTTGACTTGGTTGAAGCAAACTCATTGGAATTTTTATTAGCACGACCACAGGTTGCTGCACAGAGAAAAAATAATTGTATCGAATCCTAAAGGAACTGAGTCGTATTTGTTTATTTCACTTCTCTCTTCAATTTTGTGCACTCGAACAGAAGATGCAAAAGATTGCAACTCTTTCGAGGTTGTCAGATGATACGATTTGAGATTAACACCAGTGCATGGGAAGCAAATCATCTTCTGAAATCGAGTTCAAGATTGATTGTTTTCTCGTCGCATACCCTTGCAATAACCAGGTTTGGATGCTGATTACTTCTCAATCTAATAAGTGATGCTTCATAGTTTTAGTGTAGAACTTTTTGTATAGAGTAAAGACAAATTCATGGATTTTGTAATTTTATCTTACCATTTTGTTTAAGTGCAACTCTATGGTTTCTTGAAATCTAGTAATCTACTCTTCTAACTTGCTTTCCCATTTTTACCATATGCTGATTTGTTTTGTACTATTTATTAAACTTACCCCGTTTAATCCCACAAATGGGGTCATAAATGTGCTTGGGGAGGTTGGTGTGACGCAACCTCACTCCTACCTTGTGAAGATAAAGAGGAAGTTCCCTATGGATCATGGGGAAATAAAAGAGCCATTTAGAGGTAGTTTCTCTTTGTTGCTTCACTCAAGCTAAGTTATTTTTATGAGTTTTGTGATAATCACTAGTTTACATATTCAGAAGTTTGGATTTCATAATCCAATCTTTCTTGAGCTTATAATCTTTCACGCGGAGTCTGTGAAAGGGGGTGTGACTTAGACAGTCTATCTCAATGTAGTCTACAACTTGAATTATTGACCTATATGTCAAATAGAGAATACTTTACCGTTGCTCTAAGATTCCCTTTTTAGAGTAAACGATAAATTTGTAAACTTGTACACTTCCATGTCATGGATATAAGCACTTCAAGAGAATCAATGTGATGGTGGATTAATTGAAACTTCCAGTAACATTACGAAGTACAAAAAAAATAAGTTATGTACAAAATGCTGGAGTACATGCATTAACCTAACTCCTAATTGTGTGAAAAAGAATGTTGAAGTTTCAATCCCCCCTTTGCAGCCATGTCTACCCTATCATATGATTCATTGCAGGGTGGGCAATCCCATACCTCGTCGCCAGTCCATAATAACGAGGGATGCTACACAATGTGCTAGTGCTGCTGCAACGACGAACACATGAAAGATCTGATGGCTATGTCCTACAAGATCAAATGCACCAGGTTTGCATCTTTCTGGAAATCTTGTCATGTAAAATACTGCCCCAGTAGCATACAAAATGCCCATGATTATCTCATAACTTAGAGCCAATAGTACTTGTGGATGACCATAGTGAAGGAAAAGTGCATGTGTAGCTGGGATCAGTCCTGAGAAACCCATAGCTAGAAACAGAGTAGCCCTAAAGGATCTGAAACGACCGGAGAAGAGGGCCGGGGAGAGGAGGGTGATGATGGCAAGTATACCAAATATAGTAATGGTGGTTAGGTAAAAGATACACCAGTGTGGTTGATCACAGAAGATATAGTAAATTGGGCAAAAGAAAGAACAGACTATCATGAGTGAAATGCCAGCATAATCTAATCTCCAGAAGAAGAGGTTATATCTAAGTGAATGGCAAGCAAATAAATGGGAAAGTGTGCTGGCTATTAAACAACCCATAGCTCCTCCTAAGAAAACAAACCAAGGCCATATGGCTACTTCATAACCATCTCTATTTATGTCTAGAAATGATGGATTTGTTATTTGTCTGGCATAAGAGTCCTGCATTCAAAAAAATTAAACTATATGATGCCTTTGTTTTTGTTTTGAGCGAATTCTGTTTGTTTAACTGAATCCAGTATTTCGACATGGAAAAACAAACATATGTCATAAATCACTAAAATTTCAATAAATATTAAAGTTTGAACTCATAACCTCAAAAGTACAATTAATTCAATACTAAGAACCTTAAAAATTGAACCCGTCAAGTTTAAATTTTTGATCCGCTTATGTTCAAAACAAGCCGCCTCGGAGAAAAGGGTTGCATTCACTTTATTTGGAGCATAAGTCGAGGATCTATCAAGAATAATTTGAGAATCTCAGTAGCTTAGTTGATTGACAATCTAAACTTTTACCTTGTTGAAGAGAATCTGATTTTCTGTCTAGTAATTCTCTAATCCATCTATTTTCTCTATCTCAATTCATGCATCGAATTCTACTCGTACGATTACACTAGGTATGTTGTTTTTTTCGAGTAGCATCTTCCATTCCACTAAACAATGTAATATGTAATGTACTAACTAAAAATTTAAAAATTCCTAAAACAAACAATAATAACAAAAACTTTATTGTACACACACCACGTGGATATATATAAATAAGCATTTCGATTTTTTCTTTATTTACCAAAAAAAAAACTCAATTTTTTCCTCCACTATTCACGGAAGATAAAAGACAGGAAAAAAACAAAAAGAACAACAAAAGCACCATAATTAGGAAAATATAGAAAAACAAACCAAATGCATGTGATATACAGCTAAAATATCACCTAAACAACTCAAGCTCTAATCAATTAAAAATTGCAAATTTTTCAGCACATTAATAAAATCTAATCTAAATTAAGCAATAAAAGGTACTAGATTTTATTTTTTTTTGCGTTTGACTATATGAAATATAAGGAAAATTTTGGAAATTATGACATGAAGCAGATATTTATGTGTATAAAATATTTAATATAAGAAATTTAAAATTAATTTTTCAATAAATACTTATGGAAATATGTTTTCTGTGTTTCTATTAATTGTTATTAGTAAAAGTTTGGTTCTTTCTTTTTTTATCGACAAGATTAAATATTATATTCTTTCCGTCGTTAAAATCTATCTTGAAATATTTATTATTTTAAAATGAATTATGTTTTCGTTATTTTATTCGTACTAGTAATTATATTTTTAAAAATTACAAACACCTTAATTCTGAAAAAATATATCTTAAGACATAAATAAATGTAATATCTTCGAACATCCCTCCTAATTACTCTCTTATTTTAATTTATTTGTTTGATTTTGTTTCATGAGCAAGTATATAAATTTTTTGAATCTAAATATATTTTGATCATATGGTTTTAAACATGTCATATGAAAAATTAAAATTAAATTAAAAATAAATAAATAAATTGAAACAGATGAATATTATTTTTATAAGAGAAATAAAAAAGATAATTTGATGCACCAATACGGATTCGAAAAGGATCGAACCATCACAAAAATTTATTATACGGAATCTTAAAATTATATCATGAAATAACTCGAACTCATATCTTTTTTATTACATGATAACTTTATCGGATACGTTAATATTTCGAAGGACGTGTAAATGAAAAACATGAGTAGTCAAAAGATCCTAATAAAACGTGTTACCTACAATGCCCCTAACATTTCGCGCCAATATATGCAAAAAGTTGATCGGAATACTCACCGGAAAAGAATCGCCGGAGCCATTATTCTTCATATTCATCCATTCATCACCCGTTCCTCTGTTCATCATCATCCAATTTCAGTTAAAAAATGACCAAATTAGACACAAAACACCGTCGAAATTAATTTAAAAAATCGAACCTGAAAATTCCGGCGAACAAATTCTCCACCGTCGTTGTCTTCTCCGTCAAACTCATCACTGTCAATGTCACAAACACCACGAATCCTCCCAAATGCCTAATCAAAAAACACAAAATCCCCCAAAAAAAATTCAGAAAAAAATTTCAAAAAAAAATTCAAATCTCAAATCGGCGAAAATTAATTCTCCTCCTTACGTCCATATATTTAGCGTTTCATTATGCCATGAAAATAAGCTGAGAGCAATATCCTTCAAAGGCCATTCACATCGATAATAATCTCTGATGAATTCGTTATCCTGAAGATATTCAGGTAATGCTTCGTATTTTACCAATTTTTTTCTCCGATCTAATTTCTGATCGTTTTTTCTAATTGTTTTATCGATTCGATCTGCTGAGTCGACTCGTTCGCCATCTCTGAGTTTTGAAATCTTCTTTCCTCTTCGTTTCATTTTAGCGAACGAGCGAATTTTAGCTCCGACGAGTCAACCTCAGCTCCCGGCGAATTTTCGCCGGAAAACTTTGAATTTTTCGCCGGAAAACTTTGAATGAATGTGTGTTAAAAAAAATGCTAATTTTGTATCAAATGTGAAAACTAATTGAAAGTTGGCAAAGACATACAAATATTTATAGTAAGCAAATGACGTGCAGCCACTAATTATTATTATTATTATTTTAAATAAGATAAAATAATAATTAAAAAATTAAAATTATTTTTTTTAAATTTTCCAGGGTGTTTTTTTTTTTTTAAATTAATAAGAGAGGAACACCTATAAACATGGTGTTTAAGTTCTATGTACGGACATACGATAGTAGAGTAGATTACAGTCACAAATAAATTATTATAATAAAAAATTGTAATAACAATCGGTTATAATAGATTAAATCACACCGATCGTTCAAATATTTTTCTAATTTACATAAATTGGTAGATTTACTTCCCATATGTTATGAATATAAGATTGTAAATATTTGTTTTTCTCCTTTCTATAGTAATTTTCCTTAATTAGTGTATCTTTCAATTTATTAAACTAAATTATCAATATTTATAATTCAATAATGAAACATAGTTTACATGCATAGTGCCATTCAATATTATAATATATCTTTCGATAAATCGATTTGAGAAGATAAGGTGTATGTTCATTTTATACCTAATTTTATAAGATAAATAAACTATTTCTGATATATGAATATTCTTTCGATGAGATATAAAGTTAAAGCGTATTCAGATCTTATTTTTATTTTTCAAAGATAAATAGACTATTTCCAATACATTTTCAAGAGTATTTTATATGTGAGATATAAAGATAGAGTGTACGCAGATCTTATCTCTATCTTTATAGCTATTTGTTTTCGATACAATTCTTGATGAATATCCTACGAATGAGATATAGAGATGGTGTATACTATGTCGCAAAGTTTATCTCTACTTTTACAGAGAGGTTATTTTCGATAAAACCTAAAATTAAAAAAATCAAAATAGATTTGACATCTTTCATCATTTTACTTTTTAATAGTTAAGATTTTTCTTTTTTAATTTTTTTTTTAAAGAAATGGCATTCCATTTTAGTGTGAGTTAAATTTAAAAAAGAAAATGAAAATTTTAAGATGAGGGAAGGTGAAAAATGTTATTTGAGTGATATGTTAATTTTTAAATATTCTTGATAAAATGAAGTTGGTGGATTCACGTGCTATTATATTATCTATGGCTAAATCTTAAAAGATTGTTAAGACGTGGGAAGATGTTAAATTAGCGTAATTTAAGATATGTTTTTTGCGATAACATTTATAATATAATTTCTCTTAATTATTAGAATTTTAAATTTAAGATTTCTAATTAACAATAAAGAGATTCTAGTTATTCCATCACACCTTGTATTGCTTATTAAGATCCTTTCAACATCATTCAAGATGTGTTTAATATGATGAAAATTTTTTTTTCTTTACGAAATATACTTTTGTTGAAATAAGATCAAGAAAATATTTTCAAGTTTTTGGTTTGTTGTGAATATTTTCTAACACAATATCTATATCGAAATTAATAATAATATCAACAAATTGGAGTGTTTTGATAAAACTTTTACATACTACTATAATTAATTTAGTGTGTAATCATTTGTCGAACTAAATAATATGAAGTAGTTACTACTAAAATAAAACATAAAGTAAAATGAATTTTGCCCATAAATAAAGAGAAAATGACTTTTATCATGTTAAATACTGAAAAAATAAATAAATTAACTTAGACATTTTGAATAACGAATGGTTAAATCAAAAGGTCTCAACCACCAAAAACTTCCACATAAATATATTTTCCTTAAATCATTTTCCTTTCGAACCAAGCACACATGAAAAAATTCTAATTATATTCGTATCGAAAAAATAGAATTTTCGTAAATAAGAAGTGTTCAACTCTCTGAGTGACCCTCATTTTAAATATCGAATAATTAAATAAAAAATAAAAAAGATAAAAAGCAAAATATATATATTTTTTATTTTCTTGATTTTTTTTTTTTTTGTGTTTGACTATTAATTTAGAAAAGAAAAGTGCTCTGCTGGCTTTTGCCTAAGATTTGTTGGAGCATATCATAAGATTCCTTAAAAGCATCATTGGAAGTAAATAATCTTTATATTTTAATCGATCACAAAATATTTATCATGTTTCATCGCTTTTTAAGTGTTAATAATCTTTATAATTAAATTTGAATAGATTTAAATTGAGTCTAGAATTTAAAGGGTATAAAATATTAATAAAATTTTTAAAACGATATATAAAATTTTATATTAATCAAAACGGTAAAATCGTTGAAACAACAACGATTTTCTTCGCCGGAAAAAGCAAAATCGGTGCTACTGCAACAATTTTGCAAAATGTGATTTTTTTTAAAGAAAATCGCTGCTCTATTTTCTTTTAAAAACTTTTTTTAAAAAAAATGAAAAAATCGCAGCGATTTTTTTTTAAAAAAAACTGCTGCCTAGGCAACAATTTTCTTATTTTTTTTAAAAAAAAAAACTCACATTTTGCAAAATCGCTGCAGTTCCAGCAAAAAAAATCGTTGTTGTTCCAGCGATTTTATCGTTTTGGTTAATATAAAATTTTATATACCATTTTGAAATTTTTGTTAATATTTTTATACCCTTTAGACTTCAAACTCTATTTAAATTAAATCAATAACTTACGTATATGAAAATTATATAAAATATACTAATATATATATATTACCAAAAAAAGGATGCAACCCAACAAAGGATCAATCCAAAGAAAATAAAACAAAAAACAGTAAATAAAATAAAAATAAAAGACAACAAAATACAAATGGACAAAAGCTCATTCATCAAACAAAAAAAAGGAAGTTTCAAAGGAACCTTCCACCACTTTCTAATTATAGTTAGACCGTTTTAATATTTATTTCGTTATATCACCTAAAATTTCTTCTCAATCAAGTTTTGGTAATGTGTATTATTTTATCGTTACGATCTTAAAAAATAGAGATAAATAAATAATGTCATCATGAAGTTCTTTTTAATCATTTTGTTTCAATTTTTTTAAACAACCAAATATATTCTTAAAGAAGCAAAACATTTTGTAATTTACAAGTGACTAATCTTTTTATGTTGCTTTGTTATTTCAAACAATACAACTAGCTTAGCCTTGCATTTAAGCCACCAATAGTCAATTTTTTTTAAATAAAATAAATTATGATAAATATTACACCACAAAGGCAAATTTGTTATGGTAAAAGTAAATATCCTAAGAAAAATGTAAAATTGATTCAGAAGAAAAAATTGGCTCATATGGGTGTTGAATCCTAATTAATTAAAGTCAAAGGTAAGTTTTATAGAAGAATTATTAAAAAACGATAATATTATCTAACAATAGATTTTGAACGATTAAAGTTAGATATATTCATAGAAAAATGAGTGTGGTAGATATGTGTGATATGAGTTAATTTCAAGATAGATATAATTTGACATGATATCAGAATCAGACCTATTAAGTTTGATCATGTGAGACTCCCTGCCTGTGTGACATTATGAGTATGATACTTCTGATCCTTAAATGTTACGCTCCGAAACTCCAAATAGAGAATGTCTAGTCTGAGTGCGAAAAGGAAGGGGTATTCACGATAAGAATGATCCCACATCGAATCAAGATAAGAACTTTAAACTCTTTAAAAGTCGTAGGCAATCCTCCTATTAAATCAGCTTTTGGGATGACTTAGATCGACAAAATACAAATAAGACTTAAATACAATAAAAAAAAATTATATATATGATATTTGATGTATTAGTTAACAAAATATACTTTAGTCTTGTCAAAGAACATTTAATAATATATTCATATTATCAATTTAATTTATTAAGAACTAACACTAATTTAAATCATCCTTTTTAACATAAAAGAGAACTTCTATATCTATTGCAAATATGGCTCAAAATTTGTTTATTTTTGTTCTTATTTATGAATTAAGATATAATTTTCTTCATTGAATATCTAATTTATATATTATATTTGAGTGTAGTTTTCAAGGACATTTATTATTAAATAAAAATAAAAATAAAGTTTATGTTGAACTTTTAGAATGAAAAATAATTAAAAAATATTTTATTTTAAAATTCATTAACAAATAATTTAAAACAAAGAAAGTAGATACTACTATTTTCTGAATTAAACAGTGATTATCAATGAGATTCCAAAGATCAAATCAAATAATATAATATTTAAGACTGAGGAAGTATAATTAAATTAATTAAAAGGCTGCAAAGATTCCCAAAATGATAAATTGATAAGAGATAAAACAAAGAGAAAAATCAGAAAATCTCTAAGATTATTATATTAGATATTTACAAAGCTCAACTACCAATTCATCTGGTTTATAGTTGGCAAATCCCAATAAAATTATCTTCCTTTATATCCGATATTAAATTTATCGATTCGATTAATTTAAATTCATCACACAAATTTAAATGTAAAGCTTTGAATAAACTGAGGCGAGAAATACATTAGTTAAGTGGACCCCCTTTTAGAATTAATTGGTAATTATTTGATAATAATGCAAGAAGCCTTTTCACATTTTTACATAATAAATAAAGAAGAATAACAGTAGTAGTAGTTTTATTTTTTATTTTTTTTAAAATAAGACCTTAGATTGAAAGAATCTAGGGTAATCACAAAAATATGGAGACCATAAACATACAAATAAAATTGGTGGAATGGAGAAAAAAGGTGGACCATTTTTTAATTTTTGTGTAATTTTTTCGTATTGATATTTTCTGTATCGTTTTAATTTTATATGATATTTTCGAAGGAATGAACATATATAAAGGCTTTATTTAGTTGAACTTTTAAAAGCCCATTGGGAAATGGGCTGCTTGCAAAAAATTGGGCTTTCATCTGTAAAAGCAATTTGAGGGAGAACTATTTATTTGGAGATATATTCATATGTATCTTATGATCAATTAGTAACTTTCTATCATATATCGAAACATATACATTTTGATATATGTATTTTGGCTATCAAATATATTAAAATAGAAAAAAGCAAAGCGAGATGGAGAGAGATAGTCATGTACTCTAGATGCATGTGAATCACACTGACACACG